GCTGTGCTGACGAGGAAGAGCGGAGTTTTGGTTCCAAGCCTTGTAGAGTTATATAATCATTTTAGTTTTCTTTTTACAAGATCTGTCATTTGATGTCGTGTTGACCAGAAGAATCGAAGAGAAGAGGTGTCTGCAAAAAAACGAATGGATAAAAACAAACGGTTTCTCATCGAAAGGAGCAAGATTTGGAGATCTTTGTAATATGATGATTTATAAGATAAGTTCATGAAATGTTTTTTTTTATTACAGATCTTGAATAATGGTGTCTGTGTTTGAAGTGTTCGAAGTGTTTGTTAATACCCTGAAACTCAACACGATGCCGGTTTTGTTGTCTGAAATAAAATCAATCCCTTTTAACAAGAGTTTATATCTTTATTCAAATATAAAATGTAAATCGATTAATTCGATAGAATAACCAAGAAAAAAATATTACGGATAAAGAAGAATGTAATCGTTTGAAAAAAAAAATCGAATATGAATAAAATGGAAATGCTGAATTAAGCATAATTTTCAGTTAAACGCAAAAAAAAAAAAAAATCGAATATGAATCAAACTGAAACCCTATACAAATATCGAATTGGTTTAGTTTTGTTTTTTAAATTAGCCTGAAATCGACCAAAAAAATGTAATATCTCTATTTAATAGTTAGAGCTTCGAATAGAATTTGGTTTTATTCGGTTTGCGACCGTTAAATCGGTTGGAAAATCCAAACCTCGTCATTCTAACTCGTTATATCCTCTTCATCTTTGTTGTTTTCGTGTTTGTAAGTTTTGATTCTCGTTCTTGAAAGTTTAGGATCATATTGTGAATATGTGAGCCAAGGATCCCTGGCGAAGTAGGGTTTGGTTCTCGTCGACAATGGAATCCACTTCCTATACATTTACTCGTCCTTAGTCGGGATTTTACGTAAAACATCGGATAAAAGAAACAAATCGATTATACAAAAAAAAGAAAATCAAGAAATGTTTTGGGTTTAAAAAAAAAAAAGAATGATGATCAAACACAAGATCAATCAAGGTAAATTGACAACATCGACATAGGGACTAAGCAAAGCCCTCTCTTCTTCAGTTCCATGGAAAGTTCTTCATGAGCCACGCCTTCGATTGTTGATCTTGCCTCCGCTGCACATTCTTTCTCCTGGCATGTCCAAATTGATTATTTTTTTTATTATACTATTTATGATAATAATTTATAGAAAATATGATCAAATCTTAAATGTTAATTAAAAGTGTTTACACTTTTTTTTTCTTTTTTTTTTTGTGCAAACCCAATTCATGAACCGACATGTTTCTCATGCTCCTTACCTTTGTTGTTATGTCTTTTGTGCTTTCTTGTCTTGTATCATTTTCCATTTCATTCAACATGTTACATATCTGCAATACAGAGTGTTGCAAATGAGATAAATAAAACAGCACAAAATGATTAGGTGTGTAATCTATCTATCTATATATATATATGTTCATCACCATATATATATATATATATATATATATATATATCGTGTGATAATTATTGTTTTTCTACTTGATAACATATGACAATATAATAGATCTTACAAATAAAAATCGGTATTTTAGAAAAGTTAAATTGCTTACAATTATTTTATTATTAAATTTGTTTATTGTTGAAGGTCCTAAATTTGGGAATATCACATCTTGTTAATTATTAGACTAATTAAACTTTTGAAGAGGAAAAAAATGAAATTTCTTAATATATTTGGTTTTGATATTACAATTAGAAATCAGTATTTAGAAACCCAAATTATTTCTTATTAAAACTCTAAAAATCGTGATATTTTACACATAACCATAAAAAAATTTGAGAAGATTATCATATCGTCGTTATCATTTTGTATAAATCATGAAAAAAAAATCGATGTTAATCCCCTCGTTAAGCAATCGAATGTCCGTTACATTACAATGGAAGATTATATTTTAGGATAGAGAGGGAGGGAGTTAACCTTAGGGCTGTTAGAAGGAGAAGAAGCCGTATCTTCCAAGTCCCCACAAGCCAAAGAAGCCTCTCCCTGTTTCGCTTCTCCGTCTTGACACTGACGTCGTACGATCCTTCTTCTCTTGGCTCTGTTGCAATTTCTGTGACCAATCTGCTTGGCCACGATGCCGACGGGAGAAGCAGCGTCCGATATCATCGAGGAATCGTCGTAATAAAACGAACCCTCTTCGGTTTCTACTTCATCATCATCATCATGATCCTCTTCAAAGTACATTGTCCAACTACTCTCCTCTATGCCTTGATCTTCTTCTTCTTCGTATATCGTTCTCTGGCGATTAGAATACGTCTTCAGTCTCGTCGAATAATTTACAGAGTATTCCATGGAAATTTCTTAGAGAAGAAACTATATATATATATATATGCTTGATATAGAGATTGGAAAAGAAGAATTGTGAAAATGTTAGAGACTTGAATATATTTATAGGGAGGTACAAGAACAAGAACAACGAACATGGGAGTTGCAGGATCGGCACATTTTGGTGTGTTGGTTCTACTTATTATTGTTTATTTGTTTCTTTTATTTTATATATATATATATATATTGCAGTTGAATCGTTTTAGCTTTCTTTATCTGCAAGAACAAGATAGAGATGCAAAGTGGTTGACCTTCTTGTTGGTAGATTAGTGGGGTGTGTGTGTATATATATATATAATAGATATGCACACCCACATTTAGTTTTCATGGATGGCTTCTATGTTTCTGAATTTCATCTCATTCCATCATATGCTTGTTTAAGTGAGTCACTAAATTTTATAATATCTTATACTTTGGTATAATATATTACACAAAACTTTAGGATTGAAAGAAATCTCATAGGTGACTACGTATAGTTTCTAAAAACATTTTGCCTTTGTATAATGGTTTGCATATTAATTTAAATAAACATGCATAAACTTATTTTTTTGGGTAAAAATTTGGATGAGATATGCAAAATGGGGCCTATCTGAATAGCATGAATCATAAAGCAATAAATTAATTTTAATTAACGATTTGATATAGTATTTATTAACTGTGACACCCGAAACCCGTATCCCGCAATACGAGTTGCGCCACATGGACAAGTAAAATAAAAATCGCATTTCCAAAAATCCGCGGGAATTTAAAACTTTTTATTTTCAGAGTTTAGCGGAAGAAACACTCGTACATACATATATGATACATTATTTCCAGTTATAATTACACATAATCGAGTGGTAGTAATAAAATTATTACAAATCTCAAAGTCTACCACCGATATAAACAAAACGTTCCCCAAAATATAAATGTATCAAAATACGTAATTATACATGATCGGTAGATGTGCTTTGCCCAGGTCTCCGATGTCCGCTCCTCGGCTACTGCTGCGCGCGGCCTGAAACGTTGCGTAACAACGTCATAAGCTAATTGCTTAGAGAGTGAACTCGGGCGTAACCCGGAGTTCCATTCTCATGGTGCCAGGGAAAGCACAAAAATATATATATGTGTGTATATACTAGTATTCTAATAAACGGGAATTGAAAACATGAATCACTGTAAGCACGCAGCAATCACAATCAAGTCCGTACGACAAGTCGGCCGTACGACAAGTCGCAGGACAGAGTCCGTCAAATCGTCTCTACGCGCACCATGCGTAGGTAGGTACTCCCCATGTGCGTAGCACAACCACCCCTCTCCTCGGAATCCATCTACTCCGCAACCACTCGGAATCCGGTATAAGTATCTTTTTATTTTCTCCGCCCGAACACATCACCCCACCCTAGCATCGATGGCACCTCTCGATGCTAGGCGTGTCCCCGCTCCGGCATTGATGTCGCTTCTCAATACCGGAGTTCAATTGATGTCGCTTCTCAATACCGGAGTTCACCTGACGTCGGCTACAACCGACGCCGTCGACTATAACGAGAGA